CGGCCTGTGTTCATGTTCAGTAACAGATATTTATACCAGTGAGCGCTAAAAACTCGGAGTGTGGATCTCTACAGTAGGAGAAGACCGAGTCCTCTCTGCAGCGTATTTAAGGTGACTGTGTACTGAAGTGTTTGGTGTTTTTTTACTCGCTTGCGTCTGTGTTGCTAGCGCTCAGTTAGCCATATAGCTAGCTGGCCAGCATTAGCTCTGCGTATTCTATGTGCCACATCGTGGACGTTCTACAGCAGTTAAATGATTAATGATTGTTCTTCGCCAACAACTGATATTACGTTTAATTAAGTGGCAAAGACAGCGAGGTGTTTGCGGAAATAACCCAACTTAGGCTACATGTTAGGATTGGTTTCATCTGGTTCAAACTTGTTAACCAAACCCCATCATGTACGAGACGATGACTGTACCTACCTAATTGGGCCTTATTACTACACGGGAACTGGTGTTATGTCGATATGTGTTCCCCCCTCGAGATCTGTTCCTTTTGCACCCAGCTGCGAGTGGAAACGATCCACGTACAAAAAATAACACTTACCCTAACCATAACCACCCTGTCACCAAAAATGTGTGTTTTGCATAATTTTATTTTTTGAAAGTATTATGTGTAGCACGATTTTTAGGTTTGTTTCAGGGTTATGGTTAGGTTAAGGGTTAAGATACGCGTTTTCTGCAAGTGGATGATTCAAACTCGTATCTGGGTACAAATGAAACAGATTTGGCTTGGGGGGGCATATCGTGGTAACACCTAGATGGATCACACGTGGAGCTCAGACCATAGAGCCTGATCAAATACTTGAGCTGTTCTATAGTAAGTCCTTGTGGGATTCCTTATAGTTGGACTCCCAGTCCTCATCTCTCTAGTTTCCTCCCCATCATTTATGTTGTCTGAATCACCAATTTTCCTCACTTCCAGGGAGTCCTCAGGGATGAAAAGAAGTTATGTTATATTTATCAAAATTAAAGAAATAAACATTGAAATATTTCAGTCTGAATGAATCAAATGTACAAGTTTCACTTTTTTAATGGAATGACTCAAATGGTTCAACTTTGTCGCGAATCGATATTAATTAGGGATGCTCCGAGGCATTTGGTTTTAAGAATCTGCTGATACCGAGCCCCAATCCCATACTTTAGAAATGCATCAAGTAAAAAGAAAACCACTCTAAAGTTCCCCTTTTATAGTCATTTATGCGTTTCTTTCTTTTTGTATTTATGATTAGTTTATTTGCTGTAAAACATCACTTGTTTAGGAATTACATTAATAAGAAACGTGTTTATTGTATATGTTAAAGTAGCCTTGTGGCTCCTGTTTCAAATCGTTTACACAGTGTACCACTGTTTTAAGCAATGCATGTTTCTATGACGGGGGTGGCACGACATATGATGACCAGCAACAGGGTCCCTCCTTTACCCAAGACTTCCATAGAGCTGCTGCATCTGTACCCCTTTTTACAAGACACGCCATGTCGGCAAATCGGCGTAGTATTACAGCAACGATGTGTCTTACAAACACGCCATGCCGTGCAGGTTTTGTGGCATTTGTTCCGCCTCTCTTGGTAGTAATATTTTGGTAACTGTCTTATAAACGACTATTGTAACATGGTGCAACAGAGGGAGGTGATATGATGATGTGGGGAGTTAATACCGAACTCGGACCAGAAAATGAAAGTAAACACGGATAATAAGTTTTGCTTTTGAACAAAATCAGCTGAGACAGCAGCGCTCCATGAGCGTCTCTCTGTTAGAGCTGGAGCTCAGGTCATCAGAGACTGAACAGGGACTGATGGGGACAGACACCTGAGGAGCGGCGGTAAAAAACCGTAACAATCGCGGCTTCAACCGCAACAAAAAGTAAGTCATGTTCAAGATAAACGGAAGTCTGCGGCATCCCAGAGACCTCCTCATACCTCCTTTATGCCTCTACCGCCTAATCTTTTATTAAAAGAACATGATTGCGCCACATTACCGCCACGGCCTGACCACTTAGAAACAGCGTTTCAGGTTGTTTTCACTTTGTTCAGCTTCCAGCTAGAGGCAGACTGAAATGGTTTTTAAGGCTGATACCGATTTTTAAAGAATTTAGAAATAACCACAACCACTCCTGCTGACCCCTATGGTTCTTACGGTGACACCGGTGATGGTGATTTAAGCTTGGTTTATGCCTGACCCCTTCTTTCCACCGGAGCTGTCAGCAGCACGTTACTGCAGCAGCACGTCTTGCTCGCGTATGCTGCTGCTTGGCCCTTCCCACAAGACGCGGAGCAGCAGGGGAGCAGCTGTCACCGACAGAGCACGAAGTCACACGAGTGACTTCATCAGTAAACACAACAACAAGCAGGAGAAAACTACAACGTGGCTCCAAAAGGCGTGTGTTTTATGTTCTGTCCGTTTTAAAATCGCCAATACGGACCTGAAAAACAAAGGAGACCGCTAGCTAGGTGATAACATCTCACGGGGCCGCACACTTAGTAACTTATTTTTAAAGTAAAGCAACCAGAAGGCAGTACGTTTCTTTATTCTGAAAATCTTGGGAGCTTCGCTCCGTTTCCGTGTCCGATTTCCTGTCTTTCCTTCCCCAAAATGTCGAACTTGACCCGTTTCAGAGGCGTCGCGTGTAGAAAATAGAACCGGCGCGTAAAGGCCACGACATGCTGCTCCTGAGACGCGACCGACTCGCGCTGCTGACGGCTCCGGTGGAAAAGGTTCTGTTGACCACAGCGGTTCCTATCAGCAGCTATGACGTGCTGCTGACGGCTCCTGTGGAAAGAAGAGGTGAGTCCGCGAGGTTCGCACGGCTCCGCGCGGCAAAATTGCGTCATTTTAACCACCGCGCCTCCGCACGGCCCAAACTTTCCGCACAGTGCACCTAGGAAATTTTCTAACCACGCGGACGGTCGGACGCGGAAAAACATGGCGGACTGACAAGAACTAGTATGGCAGAGGTTGGTAAATACAGACATTTGTATGATTCAGCTCAGAGATCACCGTGATCAACATGTTGTTAATAATTCTTGGAGAGAAATAGCTCGCACTGTCGGAAAAGACGAGGACACTGTTAAAAATGCTGGAATGCCATGTTGTAAACAGTAATTTCTACTTCTACTATGGTGTAGTGTTGGATGCATGCCGTAGAGCTCCATGCTGCCCCCTACAGTTTGGGAGAATATTGGCTCACCGCAGAGACGAGCCGCATGAACCATAAACGCTGCGAGTTGTGAAGCGCGTTCCATCCGCGAGCCGCATCACCAAGCGGAAAGTAAATGCGTCAAGCACAAACCAAGCTGAAGTGTTAAAGCTGTTTCTTTTTCCTCTACAGAAGTTTTATGAGGTCCTGCTAGCGGGTCGCGATGTTCAACAACTCATTTGGGACTCCCTTTGGTGGGGGGACAGGAGGGTTCGGCACATCTTCGACCTTTGGACAGCAAAGCAAGTTGATTTTTCTGTTCTATGATCTTTCTTCAGACCAACAGCATTTGGGTTTGAATTGTTGCACGTTATTTATTATTTTGTCTTTTGATTATAGTTCAAGGTTTAGACAAAATTGATTCAGATTTTACTTCTGTGAGGCTTTGTTTGCCGATGGATTTCTGTCTGAGATTTAACTTGATGTTTTTCCAACTGAGAGCACTCTGATGGGTTCTTGCTGAAACAAAGCTCTCATCAGAAGTTCTCACACCCCCTTTTAATAAGACCTGATGTGTTAATGATGTCGCTTTTAATATGTAAGTGCATTGATCTCAGATCAATACAACAGCCTTTCAGATTTCTAGTTATTGTTCTAAGAGACGAAACAAAAACCTCAGGATGAACGTCAAAAGCTATCAGACTTGTTTAAAGAGTAAGTCACCCCCATATCAACTTTAGTTTTGCTGATAACTATATAAATGAGTGTCTGATCGTGCTGTAGACACGTTTACTCAATAATTTGGCACTTTAGTGCATCTTAAGTCAAATTTCAATATTCTGCCGAAAACTCAGCGTTGTGCCGTCTTCAGGTAAAAACTCAGCACTGCATTTGAATTTAAATCTGCCATCGCTATTGGCCAAGAGGTACCCTATTACCCTATGACGTGTGTGTGTGTGTGTGTGTGTGTGTGTGTGTGTGTGTGTGTGTGTGTGTGTGTGTGTGTGTGTGTGTGTGTGTGTGTGTGTGTGTGTGTGTGTGTGTGTGTGTGTGTGTGTGTGTGTGTGTTAATGGCTCCGCCCTCTCGGTTTGCCAGGCAACAGCATTTGTTGCGTTTTTCAAACTGGAAGTGGGAGTGGAGTAAGACTCTGGTAGGGGGTGACTTGCTCTTTAAACTCTTGAGGTAACGTTTAAACCATACATCTGAAGCTAAAGCGCTGAAGCTAAGCTCAGCCGTCCTGTGGTTTTCCTCTGCCTGAAGCTGTTCTCATGTGGACTCTTTCTGTGCAGACACGAGCTTCGGGGCAGCGGGCGGCTTTGGGACATCTGCATTTGGAGCCACCACCAACACAGGAGGATTGTTTGGCTCCACACAGACTAAACCTGGTTTGTCTTCTTCTTCTTCTGTTTGCTGAAAGGCTTCAGATGGTGTCTAATAGGTGTTTGTGTCAAAATGTACATTTTAAATGTTATTTACAATTTAGACATTATTGTTAGTTTGCAAGCCGAGTATATTCTGTTAAGCTTTTATTCCGAATGGTGGAATTTTAGAGGTCACTGCCTTTTAAAATATGGCCACAGATGAGGTTCAGAGTCTGAGACCTGATGTTTCTCCCTCAAGGCGGTCTGTTTGGGTCCAGTACATTCAGCCAGCCGGCTACCTCCTCCACAGGCACGGGCTTTGGCTTTGGTGCAACCAGCGGGCCTTCCACCGGCCTGTTTGGAAACACCGGAACGGGCACCAGCAGTGGACTTTTCTCCCAGCAGACAAACACATTTGGAGCCAACAAACCTGCCTCTTTTGGAAGTGAGACTCCATTCCTGATTATTCCTAGATCTAAACAACAATAAGTTTGTTCTGGTGCCGCCTTTGTGTTTGTGATTTCTGAAGATTTCCTTCTATTTCTATCCGTCAGGCTTTGGTACCAGCACCAGCAGTGGGGGCCTATTTGGGTCCACCAACACCACCTCCAATCCTTTTGGCGGCTCGAGCTCCCTGTTCGGAGCTTCTGGTTTTTCAGCCACACAGCAGCCAGGAACAACCGTAAAATTCAATGTGAGTCCTTCATGTTGTTGAATCCCGTCAGAACCGAGCCCATGTGCCCCTTTTGCAGATTTGGTTTTACATAGGTTTGGGCGATAGTACAACAGTGTTTCCCTTACACAGGCGTAGCACCACGGCTGAAATCCCAGCGCCACGCCTTCAAGATCCCAAGTTTGATTTATTTATTTATATATATATTTTTTGCGCTGTTTCCTGAAGAAACACACACACACACACACACACACACAGTAACGGATCTCTCTGTGCTTGCTTCACTAATGCTCACGTTTCTTCGGTACTCCCTAGGTTTTCTTCAGCTCGCCTCTTTTTCGGTTGAATATTTAAAGTTACTTTTATCGTAACGTACGTGGAGCATTCAACAAGACAGAGCTGAAAACGGCTCGTGCATGCGTCAGTCACTGCCTCCGCTCCGGTCGGGTTTTATTTTTTTATTATTTTAACTCTCTCTCTCTCTCTCTCTCTCTCTCTCTCGCGCACACACACACACACACACACACCTTAATCAACAGTGTTTTGTTTAACTGTGTGTGGGGAAAATGCCAACAATGTTAGGAAAAAATCAGTTTAATCAAATAAAAATAAAATGGTTCTAGTATTTATTTCCTAGTTCCTACTGCATGAGTTCAGATGTATTAATCCATGCACTTAAACATTAATGTTCTGATTTTATTGAAACACTTGTTCTGTAATAGTTCCTTTACTATTGTGATCAAAACTATTTAATCTCAGTTCTGAGGCTGCTCTGTAAATAGTTTTCAGATAAACACACATAGCAACTTCTGATCCATCCATATCAATTTCAGATTTAAAATAATGTACTGATGTAAACCACGCCCACTCATTTCCAGATAATAGATAAGAGGTGCATTCATCTGTGTATCTCCTTTGATCTGCATTAGTGATATTTTCAGCACCAGAACAACGAAGCAAAGAAACAGATTCCTGAGTTTATATTAGTAATTTTATTTATTAGATGCATCTGACCTGTTCTATTTTTCTCTGAAATGAGATCAAACCAGTGCTTCTATGGGTCGTCTCCTCTCTGCACTAGAAACATGTACTTTATTATAATGTCCACTGTAATGCTTCTTGATGTTCTTAACACATAAATGAAATCAAAGATATTGGTCAGTAATGCCAAATATGTAAATTTGTGTTTCAGTCATTTTTATACTGGCTTAAAAATACTTCATTAAGTCTTAGGGCTGTAGCGAAGCCTCGACGAAAATTTGTCGACGTCAGATCCGGAAGTCGACGCACCGCGCCCACTTGTTGCATCCCCAGGAGTTTGTAAATAGAGGAGGAATCTGCCTGTTTTTCCTCTAGTTCGCCCTCTTCTCCGCCTTCACTAACATCTCCGCCAAATACCGAAGACCCGGAACAACGTCCGTCCGCTACTAGATTATTTTCCTGTTTTGCCCCTTCGTCTCCCGGCAACGGACAACAACTTCCGGGGTCAGATGCTCTGCTTCGTGTCTATCGCAGATGTAGAACATCACCGGGAGCGCTTCTCCCTTCATTAAGGAGTTTCTTTCAGACATGAGGAGAGCTGTTTTGGTGGTAGCAGTCTCTCCTCCATGCTGGTCTGTTTGCTGCTGGGTGTTTTTGGTTTATTTAAACTTGGTAACTTGAACTTAATGTTGGTAAAGCTACTGTTAGCATCTTCGCTAACAGCTTCTTGCGTTGGGATAAGCTGTTACGTTTTGGTTTAGAGTTCATCTTTTTTGTGGTGTAGATCTCCCTTTTATTACATTTAGAGTGTTGTGGGTTTTCGGTTTAGTTTAAAATGTAAGACCACTCGCCTCACGCACATAAGTGACCAAAACAAAGCAGCATGGAGACACTCCATCTTCTACCACCTCTCAGGCAGCAGCCTGCACTCCCAGGTTCTACACGTCACCAGAAAACCAACACAATAAACGCAGTGTTATACAAAATGGAAGGCCTGTAGTGTTTATTCTCTTACAGTAAGAATTTATCAATTTTTTTGAGCAATTTATTTGAGATTTTCTGGTTTTTGTTAATTGTGCAATAGAAAAATAATCATTAGATTAATTTTCTAAATAGTCATTAGAATAGTCGACTATTCGATAAAATAATCGTCAGAATAATCGTTTTAAAAATAATCGTTTACCCCCAGCCCTATTAAGTCTACTAAGCAGGGGTGTAGAACGTGTTTAACAGGGCCAGCCCGGTAATGATCTAGGGCCAAAATAAAGGGGGCAGAAGGAGATGTTTTTCCAGACGCCAAGAACAATTAAATGCCAAATCCCCCTGCAAGTGTGTCACTGAGAGTTTAAAACAAAAATTATTCTTGTGCAAATATTGGTGTTTTCACCTTTAATACTAGTTATTAACATGCAGCAGTTGCTGGATTGGTGCAGTTCAAAGTGGAGTGCATCAAATAAAACAATATTAACATAAAGGTGAGACGTGTCATATCATCCCCCACCACCACCGCTGGAATAATTCCTAGGGGAAACACTGTACAAAAATATATGTTGAGAACTTTTCCTTGATGGACATATGAGAAAAGGTCAAAAGAACTTTGATATAAAGATTACAGCTATAGCTTAGTAGCAGCCAGGTGGATACACTGCTAACGGCTAATGTTTGTGTAGCTTTAGCCTGCTGCAGGTAACAGGTTACATGGCTGGTAAAAATAGACTAAATGAGCATTTCAAGCTGTTATAAAAAGATGCAGAACACAGTGAAAGGCATCAATGACAGTAAGGAACCAAACAATTCAGTTGTGTAGACTACTTTAGCTAGTTAACATCTGAGCTGCAAACCTAATGATTGATTTTATATATATATATCAGGGTATCCGCGGGTCCTTAAAAAGTCTTAAATTAGCTTTTCCTAATTTAAGGCCTTAAAAGTCCTTAAAAATGACAAATAATCCTTAAATCCAGTTTCCAAAGGTCTCAAATTACCAAAGACCCAATAAACAAGATTCTTTTATTCCTATAAACATTTCGTGAATTTCTAGTTAGTGTTCAGCATTTTTTGTGTATGATTTTGGCGTAAGCGGAACCGTACGCAGTCAGTTGGTTGTTTAAGGGGGCTATTTTTTAGATGAGCACATTAGCTGGTTAAGCTAGTGGGAGCTTGCGCCATGGGGAAGGGCAAGTTTAATGGTAACTGGATGGCTAATCCTACGTTTGCGACGTGGTTAGCACCGGCTCCAGGCAATAGCTGGAAATTATCGCTTACATTTAATTTTTAAAATAGCTTAAATTTGGTCAAAGTGGCCTTAAAAAAGGTCTTAAAAAGTCTTAAATTTGGCTCCCTTAAATCTGCAGATACCCTGATATATACACACACACACACACACACACACATCAATCACCCATGCCTAGCTCTACACAATTGTTTTTGTACTTTTGGACAAATTTAAGACTCAAAATGTTTCTTTTGGTTCCTTCAGCCTCCAACAGGAAGTGACACAATGGTGAAAGCAGGCGTGACCACAAGCATCAACACCAAACACCAATGCATCACCGCCATGAAGGAATATGAGAACAAGTCTCTGGAGGTGGGTTTGTCCTTCGTTTACCTGGTGCTCAGTTTTTTATGTTGGGATTTCATATTTTTCAGAGTACAGGGTTTCCCTTACGTAGGCGTAGCCGTGGCGGCCCGCCACGCCTACAAGATCCCAAGTTTTTTTGTTTTTGTTGGCGCTGTTTCCCAAAGAAGCAGCGGGAACTAATGGGAACTACTATGTTGTCGCTTGTGATCACAGCCGGCGGGCAGCAAGGAGGAGCAGGCAGGGCAAGGTGAAGTTACAGCATAAGTCACTGAGTTTAAAATGAGAAAGGTAGCAGTGGATATAAAGCTTTTTGGTTTACATGTTTCAGCAGCATTAAGATAAATGACCTCTCAGGCTGCTCAAACGTCGATCTTAAGTTGTCGCTGTTGCGCTCACGCCAGGGTCCGAAATTAACACTCGCCAAATGCGAGTAAATTGCTCCATTTGGCGAGTAAATTATTGAGCTCTACCTGCCACCTGGCGAGTTAATGTTTGCACCAAATTAGTTATGTTTATCAGTCATCTAACACGGATTTCCGCCTGCATGCACCGTACACAAACGTACGCGAAACGTGAGCGCCGCATCCAACGTCATTTCCACCTATCCCATTCAATCAGTTTATCAAGTTAGCCGTTAGCTTCGTGTTAACACTAGCGGTGAAACGTGGCGGTTTTTAACTGGAGTCAGCCAGCCTTCCAAACGAAAACTCGTCGAACTGGAAGAAAAACCACCAGGACCAGTGGCAACCTGGAGATTTTGTGAAAAGTGGTGAACTGGAGACGGCGGAGTCGTGAGACAATGGCTACATTATGATGGCCACGCAGCGTTGCTGCCTTTCACAGACAACTGGCCCTCGGCATTCTTCAAGTATCCAAAAAATGCCCATACTTCCGATTTTGTCTTATTTGAGGGATAATAAATGTCCCAAGTGCTGCCGTCTCCTCCTCTGGCCATTATTTCAGCCTTAGCTTAAAGAAAGTTTTGGTCGTAAACAACAAAGCGCGCATGTGCCGCCGGCAACTTCCAGCAGATGATACGGTGGCTGGTAAGGGTCACTGCGCCTACACCGCAGCCACGGGAATCCACCGAGATAATATATATATATATATTTTTTTAAACAAGACTGTTATTATTTATTGTCAACTTTTTTACCGGGGTTTACTGCTACACCGGTTACCGTGACAACCCTAGGACACACTTTCAGATGTTCTCATGGTGCAGCTGTGTTCTCCAGAGATCAAGGACTAGGACCCAAATGAGGCTGTAAGGCTTTGGCACAAAGACGGTGTCAGAAGCAGGAGGCCAGACTTCATGGACGGAGAAAACAAGGAGTCTGACTAGATTTCAATGAAAGAGTTCATTAAAACATCTCTAAAAATAAATAAATAAATAGTAAAAATGACAAAAGAGTTGTTTTCCTTATTAATTGATGTTTTAATTATTTTGTCACTCTGTTTGGAATCAACATAATATAGAATAACATGCTTTAGGTAGATCTAAATCATTTAGGATTTTGGCCGGTAAAAAATATTCTTGGCCGGAAGATTTTCATCATCTACCGGCCAACTTGGCCGGTGAGTAAAAATTTAATTTCGGACCCTGGCTCACGCCGTAATACAGTATTAGATGCGGTTAAAGTCAGACATGAAAAAATAAATTTTACATGAATAAGTGATGCTTAGCCTGGTGGGGGGAGGAGAACCTGGCCTAGTAAGCACTGGACCAAGAAAACTCTAGGATAACTCTGGGCAGAGCAGAACAGGTCCCACCAAAGCCTGAACAGGTGAGTTTAAAGGAGACCACTGAGTCCACTGATATCAGGCTCAGGAGGAAGAGGTCCAGAGTCTGGGGCCACAGCAGCAGATGATCTGTCACCTTTGGTCTTTTAAAAAAAGTCCAGGAAATCTTTTTTGATTGTTTCATGGTGCTGAGTCTGGTTTAGAAGCTCGGGTGTTTCTGGAGACTTACGGATGAATCAGCAGAACTTTGAGGACATTTTGACTTGTGTCCCTACAGGAGTTGAGGCTGGAGGACTACCAGGCAGGCAGAAAGGGCCCGACCAACCCGATGGCTGCTGGGGCAGGAGGTCTGTTTGGTGGATCCACCGCAACGTCCAGTGCCACAACAGGTCTGTTCGGCTCCTCAGCCTCCAACGCCAACTTCTCCTTTGGCCCAAATAAGACCACATTTGGACCTTGTAAGTGGGTCACACAGTTTGTCTAAAGTCACCAGCTAAAATGACTGACATCGGTTCCACCACAGAACTAACAGAACTTGTTTTCTTTAGCATCTTCTGGAACCTTTGGAACCACCACGGGAGGTCTGTTTGGAACACAGACCCAGCAACCAGCCGGGAGCCTCTTCAAGACCTTTGGTGCACCCACCACCACCCAGAGTACGGGGTTGTCCTTTGGTAACACCTACGCCATGGGTCAGCCCAACACCAGCAGCATGGTGAGAGCTCTGGCCCACCTGCAGGCCATGAACACGCTTTACCCCTAGTTTCATATGTGGGGCAAATTTATCCGTTTCCAAATTTTCACCACAATGCTTTGTCCACCTGAAGAGTCCAATACCAGGGCGAAAGTGGTCCTGATGTTCTGGCTCTGATGGACCTCAACCTCACGCCAGAAGGAAACGCCTCAAACAGGAGGCGTTGGGGATGAGAGGGCATCTCCGTAATCTTAGCTGTTTGCTTTTTGGTCCTGGAGCTGTGAAGGTCCCTGGGTGGGTGGGGTTACAGCTGAGCTGAGCACCAGGAAGTTCATCCTTTGCTGGGATTTTGGACATGATGGGGCTGATGTTGAGGTCATGGGGAAGGGTGGGCCGTCCACATTTCCATGGGGGTTGGGTTAGAGAGTCTGATGGGTGCAGATGAGGCTGAGTTTCTCCAGAAATCCATCTCCGCCTCAGACTTCCTCTGATCGTCATCTGAGAAGTCCTTCAGACGTTGGTCCAAGTTCTCTCTGATCTCTGAACACTGACGTCTCCTCAGGGCCTGTTCGGGAACGCTGCGGCTCCTCAGGCGGGAAGCTTGTTTGGGACGACCCAGACCAGCACTGCCACTGGTTTTGGAACAGCCCCGGGACTGTTTGGCCAGCCCAGCTCCGGGTTTGGGAATGTTGGCACACAGGTACTAACCACTAGTTTGTTTTCCTCTAAAAACAAGATCTATTGATGTTTTTTTTTCTGTTGCTTTTGTCTGAAACGGGCTAGCGTCTCACTTTGATGTAACTGGAAGCTAATCTTTGATCTTCCCACTATTTTTTTAGCAGAGTTTATTTGGGAATAAAACAGCCGGCTTTGGCACCACCACCACCAGCGCTCCGTCCTTTGGCACGGGAACCGGGCTGTTTGGGAACAAACCCACGCTGACCCTGGGAACCGGGACCAACACCTCCACTTTTGGTGAGTGAATCTGGGTTTCCCCGTCTGACCGGTTTGTCCCAGTCTGACTTTGATATGAATGTTTCAGGTTTTGTAGCAAACCCTGCTGCTGGGGGTTTGTTTGGGAACAAGTCCACCACCGGAGGACTGGGAACTGGACTGGGAACTAGCTTTGGAACAGGTTAACTGTCAGATTTTTGACCCAAAAGATCTGGATTAATTATTCTGTTCATCCTCGTAGTGTTCGGTCCTACATCCATAAACTAAAACTCATCTGTGTCCCACAGTCGGTACCGGTCCGAGTCTTTTTGGAAACAACCAGAACAAACTGGGCACCACACTGGGAACAATGGGAACATTTGGAGCAACTGGATTCAGCGGTGGAACCGGCAGCCTGGGGTTCGGAGCTTCTCAGCAGCCCGTCGGTGAGGCGCTGTTCAGAATGGATTTGAACGTGGGAACGGAGTAGAAACGGTGTTGTGATGAGATTTGTTGTCAAGCTCTTTCAGACCCGAACTCCAGTGCTGCTCAGCAGGCCGTCCTTCAGCAGCAGCTCAGTGTCCTCGCCTACTCGCCCTATGGAGACTCGCCACTCTTCAAAAACTCGCTGTCAGACCCCAAGAAGAAGGAGGAGGTGAGAGCAGTTACTGTCGAACACGGAGTCAGTGCCATGGGTCACAGCGGGCTAGAGAAGGTCCGGGTGGGGGTGGGGGTGGGGGCACGCAGGAGTGTGTGACTGAGTGCATAAACCAGACGGTCAGAGCCAGGAAGAATCTGGTAGAGCAGTGCTTCCCAACCCCAATCCTCAAGTTACACTGTCCTGCATGTTTTCCATGTTAACCACCAGTGTTCCCCTGCTGCCACACACCTGCCCTGTGTCGGCGGGGGGGGGTGTCAGAAGGCTGAACAGAGCAGCTTTCTCTGTGGTGGACCACACTGAGTCCTGCCACTGGGAGCCGATAGGGATCATAAATTAATAATAATAATAAATCACACACACAATTGTGAGATTTATTTCCTTTTTTAATATTTAGTCTGTTGAGAGTTTTAAATCTGTTAGGTTGTTACTGACCGCAGCTACATTGAAGTTTCAGTTTCGCTTCTGGCTGAACGGCTGCTGCAGCAGGTAGGTGTAGCCTCTCATGGGCCATTCCCATCTGTACCGGGTCGGCCCGGGCCGGGTAGCGTAGGTTGTTTACATATCTGGGTGGCCTGGAATTTTTCCGGGCCAACCAAGGCTCATTCTCAGCCCTCTTCTCGAGGGGGTCTGCTTCAGGCCGACCAGGGCCAACACACCCACTGCTGACAGCAAATTCACACCTTCCATTAGAGCAAGCCTCTGATTGGTGGGTAGAATCAGCCCACATGGGCTTAAGGCAAGGATGTGTGGAATCAACCGGGCCAGGCTGGGGCTGACTGGGGCTACCCGGCCCGGGCCGACCCGGTACAGATGGGAATGGCCCAATTAGTCATCCTGGACATGATCATCCTGCTGGACTTCTCTGGTTATGGTGGAGACATTAAACTCATCCCAGAGGCTTCCTCCAGCCTTTGGTCGTGGTCAGAAACAAACCCGCTGGTCGTGCTGAAAGTCTTTTTCTCTCGTTCTTAAAAACATGTTTTTGTCTAAATGAAGGTGATGTTGTCGTTCGTAGAGTTAAAATGTGGTTAGCTGGGCCGTTTAAAACATGTCATGTCTCGAAAGAATCGTAATCGATCGGAAATGGAATCGAAATGAGGAATTGGAATCAGAATCGGAATCGTTCAAATTCAAACGATGCCCGACCCTAGTCCTTGGGCAAGACACTTCACTGCTGCAAGGTGGTGCAGTGGTTATCACTTTTGCCTTACAGCAAGAAGGTTGCAGGTTCAAAACTGGTCTGCAGCCTTTCTGCGTGGAGTTGCGTGTTCTCCCCATGCATGCGTGGGTTTCCTCCGGTACTCCGGTTTCCTCCACAGAACACAAACCGCCCTACAGGTTAACATTTGTACGTCGCTTTGGATGAAAGCGTCTGCCGCATAAATAAATAAACATAACTAGTCTGTGCTGTGGTGGTCAGAGGGGCTGCTGGTGCACTTGGCTGCCTCACCTCTGTCAGAGCTTCCCAGGGCAGCTGTGGCTACATAGTAGCTTACCATCACTGGCAGTGGGGCTGGGCGATATTGACCAAAACTTACTTTTCTATCTTTTAGCTGAATTCCAGAAATGTACAAACTATTGATGAGTCGCCCAGCCCCAAGCTGTAAAGTGTGGCTAATTGAAAAGCACTCTATGAATCTAATCCTTTATTATTATTGGTGTTGCTGTTGTTATTAGAACTGGGTACGTGAGGACCGTTGTAATCAGACTACATCTGGGACCAGTACAGTGATGTTGGTGCTGCAGCGGCCCGATAAGTCCAGGATGTTTGTTTTTAAACTCTTGTTTCTTTTTCTGAAAGCGTCTGAAACCGACCAATCCCACTGCCCAGAAGGCCCTCACCACCCCAGCCCACTACAAGCTCACGCCCCGACCTGCTACCAGAGTCCGCCCCAAAGCGCTCTCGTCCTCCGGAGGATCCAAGTCCCAGCTGTTCGACGGCCTGGATGACGACGAGCTGTCTCTGGCCAACGGGGCCTTTGTTCCCAGGTACTTTCTAATCGCCATCCCAACCTGTGACGCTGGCCTCTGATTGGTTCCTGGAGTGAGCTCGTGTAACTAAACCCTTGAACATTTCTGGGGCTGTGACCTCAAATCCACAACCTTCCTCAGTAATATTCACACCAGCTGTTACTAGAAGTAATCAACTTTTTCCTGAAGTCAGGATGAGGAATAGGACCAAACCTGTTGGGTGTTGTGAAACGGACGTTATTAAACCACCGGCTCGTGTAAAATGGGAATAGTTGCTGTTGGAGCAGATTCAGAAGTTTTTATCGCCGCATGGGAGAAAATCACAACATTGGGACATTACTGCGGTACTTGATGCAAGAAAAAATAGAAGCTAAGCAAAATTAGACTTAAGAACTAAACACAATGAAATGATAATTATACAGGGAGACAATGATTAGAGCTGTGATCTGACCTGCACGTCTCAATGGCCTGGAGGTGTACAGGTCCTTTATGGAGACAGCCAGTGACCTCAGCAGAGAAAGAAGCAATGTTGACTAGGGCTGCTCAATTAATCGAATTTTAATCACGATTACGATCTGAGTTTTGAACGATTATAAAAAACAAAACAAGCCGATTATTTGCTCCTCCCACTTGCGCTGCCCTGAATTGCAAATGAAGCGCTCCTCACAGTGTTGCCAACTTAGCGACTTTGACGCTATTTCTAGCAGCTTTTCAGACCCCCTTCTTGACTTTTTAATCCTAAAAGTACCTAGCGAACATCTCAGAAACATCTCTGGTAACCCTTAGCTACTTTCTGGATAACGGTCGTCGACATTTCCTGCAGGTTAGCTAAACACTCCGCCTGAGCTCCGGACCGTTCTTCACAACGTTAGGAAAGGGAATGATGTAGTGATGTGTCGGTCGCTAAAGACAGCTCTCGGAGTCGGCTCCCTGTTGGATTAACCAGAGTGAGTGACACACACACCGCACCTGCGGACTCCTGAGCAGCTAAAAACAGCTAAATGTGCGCGTGCAGCGTGCTAAACACACGTGCAGCTTGCCCGATTGCTGTGAGACCGGGTTGGGGGTGGGGGGTGCAGCTGTGGTTGGGACAATTATTACATTAACTGATGGGCCTGTAAATAAATAGTTTATAAATAAGGTAGAAATAAGTTCCTCACGCTGATAACTAATAACTAATCTCTCTGAGGACACGGTGCTCCTACAGCACCTTGACACGACTCAATAAATGTTATACAACATTTTGTGAACATCAATTTATTTGCATTTATTTGTTATAAATGCCACTGTATAATTCTTGCTGTCAGTATTTGCAAGATATTGGTATTTGGGTCTGTACTGGTTAGACTTAAATGAGTTAAACCAAGGTCTATAGCCCTTGGGTCATAGACTATGGGCTATAAGTATATTGGCCTTTTTATACTGGGAATCAGGAGTTATTTTAGTGATCATCTTGTTTCTTATTTTTGTCCTAATTGTGCCCCGAGCAGTTTTATGACTGAATAAAAACAAATAAAATCATCATAAATTGAAAAATCGTCCTAAATAATCGTGATCTCAATTTCAGTCACAAAAATCGTGATTATTATTTTTGCCATAATCGAGCAGCCCTAATGTTGACTCTGCTTTAGAATCGCCGTTTCTAAACTCCCCACAGCGTCGTCATTTCTGCTGCTGTGCTTTCTCCTAGTGCTGAAAAAGTGCTCCTTCTGGTCAATAAGCTCCATTTTACATCACACAGCGCTCTCCTCGGCTGATGAATGGAGTCCTTTACTCTAACAGAACAAAACATTTAATGTTATGAATGTTGAGGAGCTGATCAGTGACATCACTCACTGATGAAGGTGTGTGTGTGGGTGTGGGTGTGGCTAATCCTGGGTTCTTGTATTTCACAGGAAGAGCATCAAGAAGCTGGTGCTGAAGAACCTGAACAACAGTCAGTACAGCAGTCCTCTGAACAGGGACGGGGAGGACCTGGCCTCGCCATCACTTTATCCTCACAACGGACTCGGGTTGGTACTCTTCGTCTCCTCTTTTTCTTAAGGCGGTCTTCCAGGAGCACTCCTCAGCCTAAAGCAGCTCGGTACAGCGTGGTTGGTCAGCATGTGTTCCCATGCCATTTACATTTACCCTAACCCCCTAGCCAATCAGCGGTCAGAATCACGATGCCGGCCCAACTCGGCCTTGCCGGGTACCTCAATGGAGCAGGGACTAAAAGTAGGGCAGAAAGTAGAGGGAACATCCCAAACCGTGAGCTGCTCTGAGTGGTGCTCCTGGAAAACCACCTTTAGGCTGCAGCAAAAGAATCTGATTAGTTTTGCTGTGGCTCCTGGCGGTGACCACTTAACCACTAGGTAGTGCTGTTGTGCCAAAGTGCCTTGGGCTCCCTGACAGGGTCGCGGTAGGCGCTTTATAAATAAAGCTTTGAATTGAATTGAATAGAAATTCAGACCTGAAAACCTGTGTTCCTATGGGTGCTGGAAATCCTTGAAAATGCTTGAATTTCAATGATGTGTTTTTAAGCCTTTTTTAAACACGGGAAAGGTTTGTTACCTCGCTGACCGTTAGAACTGTTCTTCGCCAACTCAACACAAGAACAATAGAACATAGAAAGCAGTGTGAGTGTAGGTTGTGGAAGTTTAACACAACATATGGCAGCAGTAGCTCAGGTTGTAGAGAGAGGTGCTCACTAGTCAGAAGGTTGCAGGTTCCATTCCCGCTGAGAATTCAGTTGTCCTTGGGCAAGACTCTTAACCCGCCTTACCTGCTGGTGGCATTCAGCGGGACCGGTGGTGACAGGGTTTGTCAGTTTAGCTCCCGTTGGTGCACCCCAGCGCAGCTGTGGCTACATTGTAGCTCATCATCATCAGTGTGTGAATGACCCTGAGACCAGCAGAACCCTACGAAGGCGCTGTACAGATACAGGCTATTTATCATTCAGATGTTTGTTTTTCTCACCTCTCAAGATAAAAATCACGAGGCGCTTCACAAAAACAAAACATTTAAAATATAAAAGATTTCAAGAAATGATCAGAAACATGTTCAAAATAAGCAAAAAGAGACAATTGTGACTAAAAAATGCAAAGAAAGAGAGAAAATGAACCGGAAAAAAGGAAATCGGTGTATCCTGGGAAAAGTGGAACAAGGAGAAGGAAGTGATGGAGGTCCCACCAACGCCTGAACAGGTGAGTTTAAAGGAGACCACTGAGTCCACTGATCTCAGGCTCAGGGGGAGAGAGGTCCAGAGTCTGGGGGCCACAGCAGCAGATGATCTGTCACCTTTGACCTTTAGCCTGGTGCTGCACAACCAGTAGACTTTGATCACTGGACCTCAGGGACCTGCTGGGGGTGTTGGGACTAAGAAGATCACCAATGTAAGATGGTGCTTGTCCATGTAAGGCCCTATAGACCAGAACCAGGATCTTGAAATGAACCCTGAAGTTGACTGGCAGCCAGTGAAGCTGGAGGAGAAGCGGGGTGATGTGGGTGTGTTTGGAGGACTTGGTCAGAAGCCGAGCACAGGCGTTCTGAACCACCTGTAGACGGTTCAGGGAGGTTCTGCTCAGACACGTGAAAAGAGAGTTACAGTAGTCTCATCCCGGTTTCACGCTGCAAGCGTCAGCGGAATGGAAAGGCAGCGAAGCGGCACCGCTTCAAATAGAATCCAATTATAGTCTATGTGCGTCGCGCCGCTAAAGATAGGATCAGGTTCTATTTTTTTTCCGCGAGCCGCTTCTGGGACACATCAATTTCTGCAGTTCACATAGGAAACCACACACGGTTTCAGAGTAAAATCCCCGGTTATTTTCCAAATAAAATGCAACGTTGCAATGTTGCATATAACTTACGTCAGCACGTGCGACTGAACGGCTTGTTTACCACCAGTTTCTTTTGAGAAGTGCAGCGGTGTGATTCCTCGCAGGGGTTGTGATCTCTCGATGAGGAGGGTGTCGGAAGTCTCGAGGGATTTTAGAATCCCGCGGGCACAGCGAGGGAGCCGTGCCGCTTTGAAGTTTGCGAGTGAGCTGCTTCGCTGCTGTTCCGTTCCGCTGATGCTAGCAGTGTGAAACCAGGGTAAGCGTGAGGAGATGGAGGTGTGGAGAACGGTCTCGAGTTCAGAGCGGGACAGAATGGGACTCAGCTTAGCAACGTTCCTGAGATGGAAGAAGGAAGAGAACTAGAGAACTGACATGAGGATCCAGGGTGAGAGCTGGTATCTCTCTTTTGGCTTCAGTATTTGGAGTATTTGTGTTCTCAACGTTAATTAGAGATCGTGGTAAATAATCGAGATTACAATTCTTGCCTAAATTGAGCAACTCTACGTCTTCGTTTGAAACTGTAGAGTCCAACTTCAACTCGATTGTTTCTCTTTTCAGCCAAACTGGTCTGGAGGAGCTCCAGGAGGTTCCGGTTCCCAGCAGTCAGGCTGACGACGACCCAGAAGTCTCTCAGTTCTACATCAACCCCATTGCCAAGCCCGTTCCACAAGGCCACACCCAGAGCAGCCTGCAGGACACCATCAGCGACCTCAACATGCACAAACAGGCCAGGAATGGCCTAGAGGTAAGCAGCATCTGACCAGAACCCTTAACCAGTTATGGTCCCAGATACCGTTTGTCTCTATAAGAGACCCAGTCCCATTTGATCAGTTGGCCAGAAGGTTCCCAATACGGTCTGTAGTTAATGACGGAGAGTCTGAAGACCTCAGCCAAAGGTCGGGTCAGGTCACTGCTCTCAGTTGGCTGGTTCTGTCTGAGATATCTTGTTTCGTCCTCAGCTGAGCAGTGAGGATGTGTCAGCGTCTCTGGGAGAGAGGTCTCTGCAGGATGAGAGGGAGGAGGAGGAGGAGGAGGAGCAGCAGGACAAGTCCCAGCAGTCTCCTCATCCTGCAGGTCAGCCCAGTTGTTGGAGCTGTTGAGGTGTGACATCATCCAACTGAAGCATCAGAATCAAAGCGTTTTGTGTTTGCAGGCGTGGTTCTGAAGCGGGTGGGTTATTACACCATCCCCTCCCTGGAGGATCTGACAGACATGATGGATGAAAGCGGCCAGTGTGTGGTGGAGAACTTCACCGTAGGAAGGAAAGGTAGTGGCTGCAGGTGTCCATCTCAGCCCGTGGTTCAAACGGACGGCTCACCGCTCTTTTCTGATTGGTGCTTCCAGGTTACGGCTCGGTCTTCTTCCCTGGAGAAATTAACCTGACGGGTCTGAACCTCGATGAAATCGTCCATTTCAGACGCAAGGAGGTCATCGTTTACCCGGATGATAAAAGCAAGCCACCGGAGGGGGAGGGGCTTAACAGGTAAGTCACAAACTTTGGTTTGAGCAAGAATTATTGAGGCTAAAGTCTTAATGATGGCGTGGTGTCAGAAAAATTAAAGAATGATTTTAGTTCCTGAGGAGAGGTGTTGTACAGAGGTGGACCCTCACTATAAGATCTGACTACTCTTCAGAGTGCAGCAGCAGTTAGACAATCGTCCGAGGGGCACCCCCCACGGACAAGCATGATCTAGCTTAGTTTCTACAAACGCTCAAAAGAAAGAAAAGATCTTTTCTATACCTCCTCAAGATAAAAGCACGAGGCGCTTCACAAAAACAAAAACTCCAAAATATAAAATAGATTTTAGAAAATGATGAAAAACATTTTTAACAAAGCAAAAATAGACAATTGTGATTAAAAAATGCAAAGAAAGAGAGAGAGTGAACAGGAAAGAGGGGAATCCGTGGATCCAGGGGAAGGTGGCATAGGTGGGCAGAGCAGAACAAGGAGAGGGTGATGAAGGTCACACCAGAGCCTGAACAGGTGAGTTTAAAGGAGACCACCGAGTCCACCCATCTCAGGCTCAGAGGAGAGAGGTCCAGAGTCCCAGAACGGGATGAAAGGGTTACTAAATAACCATCAGTGTTGGTGTGCTAATCAGACGAGGCACATTCTGTTTCTCTCATACCTCCTAGCTTCCCTCTGCGTTAACACCACACCGTAGTCATGTTCGGTTTCAGTAAACACACACACACACACACACACACACACACACACACACACACACACACACACACACACACACACACACACAGCACCCTCTTTAGTAAAAGGGTAGAGAGACGACTGCTCCTTTAACGAATAACTGGTTTAAATGCTGGAACGTGGAGTAGTCTTAAACAGGCTTTTACTTATGCCATGCAGCTTCGCTCTACATCTTATATATTAATGATACAACTTAAAGTAATGGTTAATAAGATTGTAATTGAATAACACATTTCTTAACAAGGGTTAATGATGTGTGTTCCATCAGGCGGGCTGAGGTGACGCTGGATGGCGTCTGGCCCATTGATAAGACCACCTGCATGCAGATCAGGAGCTCCGAACGCTTAACCGACATGAACTACGAGGGCCGGCTGGAGAAGGCCTCCAGGAAGCAAGGAGCCCGCTTCCTGGAGTACCGCCCTGAAACCGGATCCTGGGTATTTGAGGTGCGTTTCTAAGACCCTCGAGGGTCACACCACTGAGGGATTTGATTCAGTCCTGCAGGTCCAGCACAATTCTCTAGATGTCCTCAGGTATCACAGGCTCCGCCCACTCTCTGTCTCAGGTGGCACATTTCTCCAAGTACGGTCTGCAGGACTCTGATGAGGACGAAGATGTCCCTCCTAAAACTGAGCCTAAGAAGCTGAAGACAATGTCTCCTCATGCATCCAGGCTGCAGCAGGTGATGCCCCCCTCCCAGCAGCAGGTGGCACCACAGGCTCAGGTAGAGAAGCCTGCGCTTCCCCACACTCATCCTCCTCTTCCTCACTGACTGTAGGTGTGTGTGTGTGTGTGTGTGTGTGTGTGTGCGTGCGTGGTGTTTAGCTTCATCTTAGAAGCAAGCAGCAGGTAACTTTAGTCACTGAGGATGAGTAAAGCAGGAATGTTGATTTTATAGATTTATTAATTTTTATTTAACTCAAATAAAAGCCGATTAAATCTGATGCCTTAAGAAAGTTTAGTTTGTTCTTTGGTAGAGAGTAATGTGTGTGTGTGTGTGTGTGTGTGTGTGTGTGTGGGGGGGGGGGGGGTCTGGAGCTCCAAGCGTCCCTCAGGCTTCGACCCATGCCTGAGGCAGTTCTGGGTCTCCGTTGTAACAAAGTTTCTTTTCTCTGTTTGGGTTTGGTTCTCATGAGCTCAGGTGTTTTAGTCCTCCTCACCTGGTAGAGCTGACTGTTTGTTTAATGGTGAAATCAGCTGATGATGTGTTATCAGAGGTTTGGCTCTGATCTGTTTCTCTGTAAGTTGTTTGTGTTCAACTGAATAAAATACAGTTTCTGAAGATTCCTTAAAGTTTGGTTCTGTTTGGATGAAGACCTACATTTCCCAGAATGCCATGTTCAAATGAGTTTATCTCTATGCTTCAGAACCGGTTCAGATCATAGATTATTTTATTAAGTTGCGACAACCTCAGGTTCCAGTGAATACCTGAGACTTTTATTGTGAAGGATTAAAGGAAGTGGTGTATATTTGATCCTAGTGTTATTTGGAGATGATCCAGTGGAAGAATCAAAACCAATGATCAGGTTCTGGGGCCCAACGGACCCTCTGGAAACACTCAACTTAAATTTTACTTTTTTTTTTTATTCACCTCGTGGTGATGTCATCAGCAGCAGCAGCAGCAAGTCCTGGTATTCAGAACCTTCTGATTTGGACCTTCAGCTGGTTTCAACTTCAGAAAGCGGTCTTTGTGTCATGGAGCTCCTTTATGTTCTGTGTTCGTGTCTTCAGTCCAACAAAGAAGACCTGATGAGCAGTTTGGCAGAGCTGGACAGCGACATGGCCGACATCACACAGAGCCTCCCGACAGAGAGCATGCTGGGAACGCAGGAGGGCTGCGAGCTGCTGCCTGGAGATGTGGAAGCAACAGAGGTCGGAGGTCAGGTGTCGACCAAACACGATGGTGTCATGGCTTCCAGCCACATCGCCTCGTCGCTGGGGATCAACCCACACAGGCTACAGGTAGAGCCACCCTCCCCAGAGGGGAAACGCATCACGCACAGGCCACACGGGCACCGCCGGTCTTAATGTGGTTCCGGTCATGCTGTCAAACCTCCTGATGTTGAACGAGATTGCCTCGCCTCCCTACACTACGGCCCGGTTCTGACCAGCTTTCTGGTTCCAGATCATGAAGGCTTCTCTGTTTACTGATGAAGATGACGCTGATGAGCTCCATCATCACGGAGCAACAACAGCCTCCACTGATGTTTCATCTCCTCGCTTGGTCCTGCCAGGAGTGCAGAGTCGGTCCTCTGGTACACAATTACACACACACCCACACACACTAATGCAAGCGTGCACCTATATCAGGGCATCTGTGCTCTTCAAAAGTCTTTCATGTGGATTTAGTTAGTATTTTCTTTTGGGGGGGGGGGGGGGGGGGGGTCCTCTCTGGTTTCAGTTGATTTTCATAAGGGTCAGAGAAAGAAGGGTCCATCTTGTTCACCAACTATCCTTTTGGTAAAAATGATAAATGGCCTTTATGTGACATAGCGCCTTCTTTTGACCAATCACAGTTACAGAGACCGGTTGACAAGTATGACTTAGATGCTGCAGAGCGGCGCCTACAGCATGTTTGACAGGAGCTTAAAGGGGCACTTTTGATGTTTTTAAATCACATTCTTGAGTCAGTATGTGCTAAAATCACACGGCTAATGAAAGGCCACCCAGCCATCAACCTCTGTGGTCACCAGAATACTGCATTTGCAACTTCTGACTGGCGGGCTGCCACCTGCTGGACCTAGTCAAATGGAGCTAACGTACCTGGCACATTTCCTGCCAGTTTTAGATCATGAACACAGCCGATTTGTTTAGATTAGTGATGAATCGCTCCTGTAGACACCAATGAAAGCTGGAGAGACACTTCAGCAGTTGGAGAGCCAGTAACACCTAAAATAACGGTTGTTTGCTGATAACCCGTATAGATGAGTGTGTAATGGTGATTTACACATGTTTAATCATTAGTGTGGCAGTTTAGTGCAACTTACTTTAAATGTAATACTTCAGGCCAAACCCGTAGCTCTGTCTCCTGATGCCTGTAGCGCTGCAGGGTGGCGTCTACGTGGCTGCACTGGACTCCTGAGTCCCCGCACTTCCACCTGGCTTAACCACTCACCTGCTGATACGACATGCTGGCACTTGGAGCCGCTCGCCTCCTTAACTCACTCACTGCCATTGACGACTAAAGTCGTCATTTTAAATCCAACCGTTCACTGCCAATTTGCATGTTTTTACTGCGTGGGCGTCGGACGAGCCCTCGCACCGTGAGAACAAACATCTCAGCTCTAAAGCCGATTTTCATCCGTATACGTCACACGTCACGTGATCAGGAAGCAGAACATCCATGTGTTAGGAGATCGTTTTGGGCCGCTGCTGTAAAAAAAGTTTGGCGTGAACCGGAGAAGCGTCTGCCGATCACAATTCAACAACGGATTATGAAAGAACGGATAACGCTCGAAACGCGCGGCTTCTTCCTGATGTAAGAGGTGAGTCTCTGCTTTGTTTTGGTTGTTTTGGCGTCGACATCATCCTAGCGTGCAACGTTCTGTGACTCTTAAAAAAACAGTAAAAATGGTGAGAAACGCTGGCAGCGAATGAGTTAAGAAAAACGTCGTCCTCCCCTTTTTTCTAATGAAATGAGATGAACAGGAATTCCTCCTTCCTGGTGTCAGTTTCTGTGTCGGGGGGGTGCTGCCAGTCATTGCCTCGGTCCTCCAGGCAATGCCGTTCTCCAGGTATTTTTTCTCTGGTGGTAACAAATCTCTACCCATGGTTTGACTCACTTTAATATGTCAAAAAGACGACGCACAGCGAGGAGGTAGGTTTTGTTTTGGTTCTACAAACCGACACTAGAGGATGCTAAAACCACCTTTAACGTTTGTCAAGTCAAACAACAGATTGCTGGAGATGGGCACCAGCCCCACGCAACCCTGGATGGATGAAATCAAACGACATGTCAGCAGTGGCGACTTGTCCATGGGGGCGCTGCCCCACCAGTCTCACTGGAAGAACAGGGTTACTGCGGGGACTTCAAAGCTGTAAATTTAGGAATTTGGAAATAATACCGTAAAAGAAATTTGATCTTTCACAATCGAATATACTTTATTGAACCACAGTGGGGTACAGCAGCACCAGCACTTAGAGTAATTTGAAGAAAAAGGACAACAATATACTTATATTGGACTCCAATATAAGATGAAATATTATAAACACTGCAGAGACACCGTTATGTATGAAATATGAGTTATTTTCCTGAACCATTACTTCAGCCAAGAAATAAGATGCATGGATTTGATGAAACCATGCTGTCTCATGCAGTCCTTTATGTGTAACACACACACACACACACACACGCGCGCGCTGTGAATAATTTAACTACACTGAACTGCTTTAGTAACAATTTAATCTCTTATTCTGGAGTAAAATAAAGAAACAAGCTAAATCATCACATATGTGTGGCATCAAGGAGCATCTTCTGAGTTCAAACACAGGGATGGAGCACAATGTTTACACCTGAACAGCATCAGGATGTTTTAACTCACAGAGGCCTGCAGGTCTTCTGTTTTATGAGCAGAGCGCTGAGAATCCGCTTGTTAGGAGCGCTAAACGTTATTTTGCCGCTGCCGTGCGGAGCGGTAGAGAAACACATTTCAAACACGGAACCGAGTCCGGCTACCGAACCGAGCAGAATTCTGATGACATCACACCGGTGCGCGAAGGTGCGGGTTCCAACCCACAGGAGAGGAGGGAGAGAGGAGGTAAACAGCGAGTGGATCACAGGGACTGAACTGATGTTTTGGAGCAAAACTGCGGTAAAAATGGCTGTCCTCATTATCTAAAGTGTTACCCCCCCCCCCCCCCGGTTTAGATGTGGCGCTCATGCAGGTGAGTCTGTCTGTTCCGACGCTGCTACACGTAATATTTTTATTTTATTAAGCCTATAATTTATTTTTACTCAGTAACAGATATCATTTAAAATGCAGCGAATTACAATTCTTTTTTTAAAACATACTCAAGTAAAAGTACAGCTTTTAAAAACTTAAGTATAAATATACAAAAAAGCTACTCAATTACAGTAACGTGAGTAAAAGTAATTGGTTACTTTCCACCTCTGGTAGGTGGTAAGTTTGTTTTAACATTAGCGTTGTCCTACTGTCTCTGGCGTGGCTCTTCACATCTGGGTGAAGGTGAAGGAACGAGCAACACAAGAACAGAATAAAGGGGTGAAGGAGCGAGAGCCGCTGCAGCTCTCGCTGCGCCATCTTGGATAAGTCCAGACAATTTAGAATCAAGTGTTTTCGTCACATTTAGCTTAAATATCTTCATCTTTATTCATTTATGAACCTTAACTTACAAACTATTTGAGATATTTTGTATTTATTTAAATTAGTTTTGAAAATGTAATTTATACTGAAATGTATGTGCTCCAAAATGTAGATTTTAGGCCATGTCGCCCATTTCTACACACACACACACACACACACACACACACACACACACACACACACACACACACACACACAATACTTGGTTCCTGACTCTGTTCTTGGTCCTTTCAGGTCTCCTCCAAACTCGTTTCACCTCTGGACTCCCTCCCTCTCCAGAGTCCATCCGACCCCCTCCATCTTGGTCTTGGGGGTCGCCGGCCCCCCCTGAGTCCTCTCGGCACCTGCAGAGGCACGGCCCTTGCCCAGCCTCTTTCCTGCTGCCCCCCCGAGCTTCCGAACCTGCAATCAGGACCGTCGGGGTTCGTCGGCTTGGAGGACCCGTTCCGCTCGGGGAGTCTGTCACTCATGGGAAGGTTGGTTCTGGATCAGGAGCGCAGAGCTCCACTACAGAACCGGGCTCAGTTTCTTTTCTTCTGTTCTGCAGGGCGGTGTTATGATGGACACAGGCCTGTTTGTCTCCCGGTCCTTCAGAGTAGGGTGGGGTCCTGGCTGGACTCTAGCCCACAGCGGTACTCGGATCAGTTCCCAGACCAAGTTGGTCCAGAACCAAGAAGTCAGAACTGGGACGGACTTCAGCTTCTTGCCTAAACCCACCAAGATCCAACCGTAAGAAAACCTCTTTGAGTGTTTGTGTGTGTGTGTGTCTCCGTGCATAAACAAGCTAATTGTGTGTGTGTGTGTGTGTGTGTGTGCGTGCGTGCGCGCCCTACAGGCTGATTCAGAGCCCATACAAGGTGGTTCTGGAGCTGCTGGTGTGTCTGGACTCGTCACAGGAGGACCAAAGTGAGGAGAGCCAAGAGTTGGTGCAGCGCCCCCTGGAGATCTGTCTGAGGAACAGCATCGTGGACATCCCAAGTGGCACCATCTGTCCACTAGTGACACCAAGGCCTGGGGTGGTGGCGCTGCACGAGTACACCAAGTGGATCACTGAGCTGCTGGACCACCATGGCGGCTGCGAGTGTGAGTCATTATCCACTCCTCTAAGTCTTTGTCACCTGGATCCAGATGTCCTCATGCCTGAACCTCCCTTTCTGCTGCTCTTCAGCCCTCCTAGCTAACTGGGCTCAGGTCTGGTCCCTGTGTGAGGCCCTGTGGGGCCGGCTGGGCCCCTCTGAACAGGAGACAGATTTGGAGCCAAACAGCGACTATGAGCGGCAGCTGCAGAGGAGGCGTGCCGTCTCCTCTTGGCTGTCCCACGGGGCCTCCCACAGGGTGGAGGAGGAGGTGTCTCAGTCGGGGAAAGGTCGCAACACGGACGCCATCTTCAGCTTCCTCACAGGCGGTCGCATCAGTGAGGCGTGTCAACTTGCTCAGAAGGAAGGTGAGGAGCAAACCTTTCCTTTAGACACCTGTTCAACAGAACCTGAGGCTCCGTGCTGAAGGTTCTGGTTCTGATGGACCCGCACCTTCAGGACAGCTGACTCAGATTAGTTCAGTTATCAGCCAGTCTGTCTACAGGAGACTACCGTCTTTCCCTGCTGCTGGCTCAGGCCATGGGCTCCCAGTTCTGCCGAGACCTGCTGGCCCTTCAGCTGACTGACTGGAACCGCTTACAGATGGACCGGTACCTGACCGAAGAGCGGCTTCGCATCTTCGTTCTGCTCGCTGGAAAACCTGTAAGGCTCCATTTAGAGAACGCTCCAATCAGATCACGTTATTTTAAAGGGACTGGCTAGAAAAGATGGGATTCAGCTTTTTATTCTCGGTGGGACTTTGACCTGTTGATTAGGATGAGTTAATCAGAAAAAAATCATGCGTTAAAAAATTCACTCATTTAATCGCAGAACAGCAGAACCTTTGTCACAGAGGAAGATTTGCTGCTGCAGGTGTGAGTCTGCAGGCCTGCAGCGATACCCTACCTTATTCAGCTTGACTGTGAGACTATTTAAAAGCTCAGGAACCCTTTGCAGGTGTTTTCTGATTGCAAATATGAATTTTATTTGATTAGCTTCATATAACAGACACTTATAATTGGATCAAACTGGGCATTAAATGTGGTGGCAAAGGTAAAGCTGCGTTCAACACTACAAATCTGATACCCTGCTCACAAAACAAACTACTTTGTCTTTCAGCTTTTCCCTTCAGGCGTCACTAAAGCGAATCACCAGTCTCCATCAAGTCCGGTTAGTTCTCGTTCACAGCAGCAACTCGGAGCCTGCCAACAGAGACAGATCCTCGTAAGGAAAAATCAGACAAACAGCAAAATGTCAGAATTTCTCGAGCCCGGTTTTCTCCGTCTGCATCGGTGTGGAGACGGGCTACTCTAATAATGCCTCGATAATGGGGCTCTCCAAGACACGCCCCGACGTTTAAATATTCATCAGAAGTGGTGGAGACCTCCAGCTTGTGGTTGGTCAGGATGCTGCTTCCTCTAAATTCACCTACAGCACCGCGGTTGCCCTGCCAAAAAGTACAAATGTGTTTTGTGGCAGACGCGGTAAGGCAGGAGTGTCAAACTCAAACTCACACGGGGCCGAAATGAAACTCTGGGACGGAGTCGAGGGCCAAACTTAATATTTTTGAAAAAGTGACGGCAAATTTGCACATTTTCTTTATCAACATAAATGCAATTTTGAACCTTTAAATTTGGAAACAAACATATTTCTGCATTAACACTGAATGTGGAATAACCAAATTACACACGAGCAAGTCAGTTTAAATAAAAGGCATCAGTGGTATTCATTACTTGTGGTATAATCAGCATTTTTAAAATCTTTTAAATCTTTAAATCTTTTCTCACTTGCCAACAACAAAATAAAGATATAATTTTATCTTAAATGAAAATGCAACATCTCACCTGTTAACTTTCATGATTTGGAGCAGAAAAAGAGCATAAAACCAACTTTGCTCCACTCATTTACTGTGATGCTCACCTGTTCCAGCCAGATACCTGCATCATGGGGTTGATCTGAGCTGAGGAGGAGACTCCTGTTGTTTTGTTCATCTTCATCATAATAATGACAACATTAGATGACAACAGGTGCTCACATAGGTTTGTGCTGATGAACATGTCTGAGCAGCTTGACCGCGTTGTTGTGTGTCGGGGAGGAAACACGACGACAGCAACCACAGAGCCGTGCTGGTTAGAGCGTGTCGCTGCTCGCTGGAGTTATATCGGCTCTGTCTGGACGTTAGTTGGAAAACTTTCTCTTTCAGTCGTGAACACATTACTGAGCGGCTATAATCTCCGTTTCTGGGCTTCAATGTCGGAAAATAGCTGAGTGAACTCGGCGCTGAGTGAGAGGAGTGTTTAGTTTGTCTGAGACAGCGGTGCTGCAGACACCGGCAGCAGGCGCTGGAAAAAAACACAAAGGAGGGGGCGCGTCGGCTCCGCGCTAACGCCGCAAAGTCCCAAAATAGGAACATTTATTCAGCCGTGACTGAAGGAGCACGAAGATACGGAGCAACCTGTTAGCTCGTGGACAGAAATGAGCCGTGGGTTCAGAGGTGGAGGAGCACGGAGGACAGATTTGTCGTGTTACAAAGTCTGAAATATATATAAACACATCAGTAAATGCACTAGTGTGGACCAGATACATGAGTGGCATGGTGGCAGGATACCATAGAACAGCGCTACGCCCTCTGCTGTCCTGGCGGGGAATTGCTTTGCGACGCTCCCAGGAGGCGGAGCAAAAGGCCTCTGTCGATGCGTGTCTTTCCCTGCAGAAGTCAGGCTTCAGTCTCCCCACTCGAGCTGACCATGGTAGCTACAGGTGTTGTGCAAAGAAATGTTACCTTGCTGGTTGTGTCGTCTCGCTCCTGCCCCGTCACCGGAAAGGGCACCGCCCAGTGCAGCTTCATATTGACGAATAAAAGACGTAAAGTAACGAGCGACGCCGCTACTTTTGAATGAGTTGATGATCTGAACACGTTTTTATCAGGGTGATTCCAAACGAGCAGAAGGAAAACTAGGACAACTGGGATGTTGTTTTTCTGTTTTCTTATTTGAACACAAGTATCAGATTGGGAGACGTTAAACTCAAATGACTTGGACTTGCATCAGGAGCAAAGAGATGTGACTGGAGCATATCTAGTCCTGGTGCGACCCGTTTGCTAGTTGAGATCTTTTAGGACAGCTCTGTTGGTCCTGCAGGTCTGGCAGTCTTCGGACTTGGTGATCAACGTGTTCTCGGAGCTGGACTGGAAGCGCTGCGTGGCGGTCCACCTCTGGTTCATGTTGCCGCCGACAGCGTCTGTGGCTGATGCCTTCTCCGCGTATGAAGCTGCCTTCCAGGTGAGCCGCTGTCTGGAAGTTTGTTGTTTCATGCTGGTTCTGTGTGACTGATCCATTTGGATTTTGTCCTGCAGGGTTCAACAGAGGCAGGAAAGTACGCCTGCACACCAGTCCCTCCATACCTGGAGGGGGAGGGGCCAGAGAAGGAAGAGGAGGAGTACAGACAGCCACTGTATGATCTGTGTTTCCACCTGTTGAAGCTCTATGGCGACAGGTAAACCGAGTCACCAGCTGTGTGTGATCCAAATGAACAAAACCCAGCAGCAATGTGTGTGTTCTCCTGCAGACACTATAGCCTGCAACACCTGCTGGACCCGCTCACTGTCACCTGTAACCAGTTGGATTACCGTCTCAGCTGGCACCTGTGGGGCGTCCTGCAGGCGCTGCACTACACCCACCTGAGCCCCTCACGGCAGGGGCTTCTCCACTCCAGCTACGCCGCTCAGCTGGAGAGCGCCGGCCTCTGGCACTCGGCCATCTTCATCCTGCTGCACCTCCCTGACCACAGGTCCGGTCCTGCTGAGTTCTGCTCTAAAGGCTCAGATTCTTTGGGCCTAAAAAGATGTTGATGTTCTGACTGGGTTGGTTCCTCCTCTTCCTCTGTGCTCCTTCAGCCAGCGGGAGCGGGCCGTCAGGGAGGTTCTGATGCTGCACTGCCCCCTGCAGGACAACGAGGAGTCTGTCCGCCGCGAGCGCTTCCTGGTTGAGCAGCTGCTAATCCCAGAGCAGTGGATCCATGAGGCCAAGGCCACCAGAGCCCAGAGAGACAAGGACCGGCACCAGCAGGCTCTGCACCTGTACCGGGCCGGTTACTGGAACCAGTGCCACCGGCTGCTGATCCAGCACCTGGCCTCAGGTATGCCCAGGTTCACCTGATCTGGGGTCAGATTCCTGTGCTTTTAGTTGGGTTCTTGTATGATTATCATGTTGGAGGTCAGAGATCACATTTTAAAGTTGTCGGTGGGTGGAGTCAGGCTGTCTGGTGGGTGGAGTCAGGCTGTCTGGTGGGTGGAGTCAGGCTGTCTGGTGGGTGGAGTCAGGCTGTCTGGTGGGTGGAGTCAGGCTGTTTGGTGGGTGGAGTCAGGCTGTTTGGTGGGTGGAGTCAGGCTGTCTGGTGGGTGGAGTGAGGCTGTCTGGTGGGTGGAGTGAGGCTGTTTGGTGGGTGGAGTGAGGCTGTTTGGTGGGTGGAGTCAGGCTGTCTGGTGGGTGGAGTCAGGCTGTCTGGTGGGTGGAGTCAGGCTGTTTGGTGGGTGGAGTCAGGCTGTTTGGTGGGTGGAGTCAGGCTGTTTGGTGGGTGGAGTGAGGCTGTCTGGTGGGTGGAGTGAGGCTGTTTGGTGGGTGGAGTGAGGCTGTTTGGTGGGTGGAGTGAGGCTGTTTGGTGGGTGGAGTGAGGCTGTTTGGTGGGTGGAGTGAGGCTGTTTGGTGGGTGGAGTCGGGCTGTTTGGTGGGTGGAGTCGGGCTGTTTGGTGGGTGGAGTCGGGCTGTTTGGTGGGTGGAGTCGGGCTGTTTGGTGGGTGGAGTCGGGCTGTTTGGTGGGTGGAGTCGGGCTGTTTGGTGGGTGGGGTCGGGCTGTTTGGTGGGTGGGGTCGGGCTGTTTGGTGGGTGGGGTCGGGCTGTTTGGTGGGTGGAGTCGGGCTGTTTGGTGGGTGGGGTCCAGTTGTTCTGATCTTTAGTACTCCAGTGTTTTGTTTTTGTTTTTCGGTGAGGAAGTGGGCATAATCTTGACAGCATGTCAAAATAAGAGCATGATAAAAAAGCTAGTTTCATTTAATTCTGCTGAGAAGAAAAGTCTGTTTGGGTCCTAAAATCAGGTTCAAACTTCTGTTGACATCAAAACATTTTATTACCATGTTTTTTATTTTAACTTCAGTTTGAAGGTCAGATCAGAACATTTTGGGCTTGGTACCAAAACTCTGAACATTCGGTAGGTTCTGGCACGTTAACGGGCCACAGAACCTTTCCTCTCGCTGCTGCGTGTCACATGACCTCAGTGTCACTCACACAGGCTTTGGCAGCATTTAGTGAACATGAACAACAGATTTGTGCTGCTAAACATGGAAAAA